TCACCTGTCTGCATTCACCTGTCTACATTCACCTGTCTGCATCCACCTGTCTGCATCCACCTGTCTGCATCCACCTGTCTGCATTCACCTGTCTGCATCCACCTGTCTGCATCCACCTGTCTGCATCCACCTGTCTGCATTCACCTGACTGCTGTCACCTGTCTGTATCTACCTGTCTACATTCACCTGTCTGCATTCACCTGTCTGCATCCACCTGTCTTGCTCTACAGGTTGCAGTTCTGCTGTCTCGGACCGTGGGTCAGACTCCTCGTCTGCTGCTCTGTGGGATGCTGGCGCTGCTACACATGAGCTTCCTGCTCTACCTGCACTTCAGCTACCATCAGATCCTGGAAGGTCAGAACCAGAACCAGAACCAGAACCTGTAAAGTCCAGAGAGGGTCTGTGTACACTGTGGGTAACACTAACGAAGTCAACATGGATGATTCTCTGAACGAGTTGGCCTGAGACACGCCTCAGAAAAAGGGGCGGGGCTTCTGGAGTTACAATAAAGAGGAAGTCAGATCAAAGCATTGAAGTTCCACTTTATACTGTACTAAACTACTTATAGTACATTACTAAACTTGTAGTACTGTACTAAACTAATTATAGTACATTACTAAACTTGTAGTACTGTACTAAACTTATAGTACTGTACTAAACTACTTATAGTACATTACTAAACTTGTAGTACAGTACTAAACTACTTATAGTACATTACTGAACTTGTAGTACAGTACTAAACTAATTATAGTACTGTATTAAACTACTTATAGTACTGTACTAAACTACTTATAGTACATTACTAAACTTGTAGTACTGTACTAAACTACTTATAGTACATTACTAAACTTGTAGTACTGTACTAAACTACTTATAGTACAGTACTAAAGTTATAGTACTGTACTAAAGTTATAGTACTGTAATAAACCTGAAATATTGTAGTAAAGTACAAAGCTGTATTTAGATGAGGGTCCAGCACTGCTTTCTGTCTGAAATGATTGTTTAGTTTTGTCACTCTGTAGTTTCAACACTAAACAAGAAAGGTGTCAGTTTGAGGCTCCGCCCCTAGTTTTGACCCTAACTCTTTGGTTTCAGGGCTCCTGGATTCTCTGGAGGGACCGAACGTGGCCCCCATGCAGCGGGTGGTCCGAGACGTGCCGGGACTGACAATCAACACTACCATGAGAAACCTGGGGGTCCTCCAGGTGACCCAGTGAGGGCGGGGTTAATTCAAGGTGGAGCCAGCAGAGGGTGGGTGTGGTTCATTAGTGGGAGGGGCCAAAAAGTAATGTAGAGAAACACTGGAGGGACCACTGAAGGTGCTAGGCCAGATTCTTATCAGCCGTCTCATGAAGTGTCACATCAGAGCTTAGTTCATCATAAATCATCCTAAATCACCATAAATCATCACAAATTATTATAAATCACCATAAATCATTATAAATAATCACAAATCATTATAAATAATCATAAATCACCATAAAACATCATAAATCAGCAAATTATTATAAATCACCATAAATCACCATAAATCATCATAAATCACCATAAATCATCATAAATCATCATAACGCAT